TAGGAATTCCAAATAGAAAGAATTATTTGAAGTTTCAAAGTGTCAATTACAAAGGTCGTTAAAATTGATTTAATTTCTTTTTAGTCAATGACTTTATCTTCCATTCTTGAAAAATAAAATATTGAATTTGATCGACAAATTGTTGATACCGTGATAAGCTAACTTTCCAAGCGTTAAACTTTTAATTATCTTTTATAACATGTACATTGCAGAGGACAAACTATATAGTAGATTGTGTTATAGCTCCATAATTAGTCTTAATGTTTTAATCTAATTAATAATCTCGGTCATTACATTCGAAAGAAGTTTCTTTAATGGGCTTTGTTTTCATATCTAAAGAAGTAAAAGTTCAACTAACCCATCAAGGGTAGGCAACTGTGCTACGGATTTTGTGCTACATGACTCCTTCTACTTGCCTGTTCTGATAAGGTATCAAGAGAAGACCCCCATTATTTGACACCGTTGTACTTTGTGAGATGCACGATTTTTGTTCCTGTCTATTTATGAATAATCGATCAGATCAATGACCGATGAACTTAAATAGCGATAGAACGGATTGATTGATGGTTAGAATAATGTAGCTCGCGATGGAGAAGAAGTTCCTCACTCCTGAATTAACCGATTCAATTTTTTTCAATTGTGTTTCTTTTTTATGTGTGTGCGTGAATAGAAAATGTATCAATTAAAAAATTGAATGATTGTTATAAACCAACAGAATAAATACTTGTCGGTCTATAGAAATTTGTAATTATGCTTTCATTCTCTATAAAATGGTGTACCACAATAAAGATACTCGATATTGAAAGTTTGAACGTGAAATAAAATTTATCACGATCATCAAAAACGATTTTACGATTCTTTCGTAGAAACGATACACTCTGGCATCGTACACAGCAACTTCCACAAAATTCATGCACGATTTAATGTTTTATTTGCGCGTACAAAGATGCGCCCATGCACGAATGCCTACTATGTTACCGGAAGAGAAGAGAGAAAAAGTACCGGAAAAGGTGAAAGTGCAGAATTGAGAAAGAGGGAGAGAGAGAAAGAGAGAGAGAGAGAGAGAGAGAGAGAGAGAGAGAGAGAGAGAGAGAGATGGAAACGAGGATAAAAGTGGGTAATATAATTTTGACAGTTTTCTTTCATTGAGAATTGCGCGAATATATAAAAATTAGGTACGAGATAAAATGTTCAGTTTGAAAAATTGAAAAAAATAAAAATAACTGCAAGTAGATTGATTTCGATATTTCAAAATCCCAATAATTTGAGTTTTCATTTTATCTTATCAAAATTGTTTTCGTTAAATGTATAAACGTGATATATCGTGTTATAACCATGCAAATTAAGTTTATTAGTGACATATTAAATTTAATTTTTTAATAATAATTCTTTGATATTATTTAAAATATTTTCATGAAAGTTTAATATAGATATATTGCGAAGAAAATTAAATATGATTGAAAAATGAAGTATTACATTGAACACGTATATAAAAAGGCTTTCATTTCATACACGTCAATTGAATTAATAGAAGCAATTATAGAATGAAATAATAACGTAAACGATATTGGTTGAATGTCAATTATTCAAACTAGAAGAAAAACAAACTACATTATTGTTTACTCTTGAATCTTCTTTTAGAATATTATATTACATAAGTGCATCTACTTAAATGGAACGGCAATAACTTTGATCATTTTTAATATGTTCGTTCTCAAAAAAAAAAAAAAAAAAAAAACTGATTACTACCATATTACGACCGTCTCGTAAGCTGCACGGTTTTTTTTTCCTATTATTTTTTTTTTTCTTTTCATGAATAGTTAGTTCCGTCTTATTATTTATATTTGTATATTAAAAAGGAAACAAAAAAAAACATTGCTAATAAGAAGAATTAATAATCAAAACTTTCAAAGGAGAATACATCGAAAGTGAAAACACGTGACACCAAGCATTTTCTCTTACAATCAAAAATATTTCTATATTCTATCTATTTCTACGTTACGCGAAATAGAAAAAATCTTACGTATTAAAAAATACGATATAATATCGAGCTATAATATTAATTTTAGTGCATTAAGAATATTAATATAAAAAAAAAAAAAAAATCTCTCTCAAGAATTCAATCAGAATGAACTTAAGTATTAATTACTTAAAGTAAAAAAAAAAAAAAAAAAAAAAAAAAAAAAAAAAAAAAAAAAAAAAAAAACATTATTCGTTTGTATACTCTAATAATAATTCTTACGCTTGATTACATTCGATGATCTGATCTATGAATAAGACTTTTTCTTTATTTTTTTTTTGCCTTCTCTTTTCGTATACTCCCAAAAGCAGTAGAGTAAATTTGAGTGATAGGAAGGAAGAATAGGAAAGAGACAAAATGGTCGAGAGGAATAGAAAGGAAGGTGAGGGGAGGAAGCTGTAAGGTAACACTTCGAAAATCGGTTTCTCGCATATATCCAGCAGCTTTTCTTCTTCTTTTCTTGCTTCTCCCTCTCTCTCTCTCTCTCTCTTTCTTTCTCTTTCTCTTTCTCTTTTTTTTCTCTCTCTCTCTCTTTCTCTCCTATGTCCCTGGGGAAAAGATGGGGATTTAAGGGGAAAACTTCCGTTCGATTCCCCATCGACGCACCACGAATTTAAGATTCGTCGACGAGGATTCACCACCACTTCTATCTCTATCTCGTTCCCTTTCCTTTTCTTTTCTTTTCTTTTCTTTTCTTTCTTTTTTTTTTGTTCCTCTACAGCTCACGTCGTTATACTCGAGAGAAACGAATAAATGTGGAATAGTTGAGGAGATGGTACTATAGAGAGACATTTTTGTTGAAGCCGAGAAACGTAAGGAAGCAGTTTATGGTTGGCGAACAAATAAAAAATGAAGGAAGAAGAAGAAGAAGAAAAAAAAAAGAAAAAGAAAACAAAAGAAACTGGGATAAAGAGAAAATAGAGCGATCGGATAACGAAAATTTTGTGAAAATCATCGTAGCTACTGTCTCGAAATAGTATGCTTTTCACATTTCTCTCTTTCTTTTCTCTTTCTGTCGTTAAAGTACAAAGGCTTATTTTTCATCTCTCGCTACGTCGTTACGATCTTCCAACACTTTTTCAAAAGAATACCTCAAAAGGGAATCCTATAGTCAGTTCGTTTCGCAACGTTCTTTTGGAAATGTACAGTTCGATTTTTTATCGTACTTTCATTTCGAGATATCGCACATACACACACACACACACACACATATACACACATGCTGCGACGAATCTAGTTTCGATCCTTTTCCATTTCCTTGTTTGAGAGGGGAAAAGAGAAAGAGAAGAAGTCCAAACTCGGTTTGCGAGCTTGAATCGCCACGGAGAAAAGAAAAAAGGAAAAAAAAAAAAAAGAAAAAAAAGAAAAAAGAATGAGGGAAATCCTTCCGCTTTGTGACGGCGACTCGCTTGTTCTCTTTCCGTAGGGAGGGAAAACATGGAAAAGGAAAGAAAAATAAGCGGAATTTTAAGGATCGAAAGTGTGTGAGTACAGAAAGAGAGGGTGGGAGGGAGGGAGGGAGAGAGAATTCAAGTAAATGTAGGAACGGGGAAAGGAAGTAAGGAAGGAAGGAAGGAAAGAAGGAAGGAAGATGGCCGACGTTGAAAATCAGAGAAAAGGAATCAAAAAGAGGTCAGAGCAAAAGGAAAGCTGTCGTATGTTGGTCCCGAATAAACTTGGTCATTTTGCATCTGGCGAATATTTTCCTCTGCCTTTGTACCGACTACGAAGCAACGAAGGAAAAAGAAGGAACGCAGGCGTCGAGAAAACGGTTATATTTACTTTTAACAAATATAAACCTGTGTATCTATATATATATATGTATATATATATATATATATGGGGTGTCCTATTTAAGACGATATATCGGATAGTACAATTTTTTAAAATTGTTATGAATCAGATTAAATATTTCGAATGAAATTTATAGAATACGGTTAGATAGTTTCGTTTAAATCAAATCAAATTCTACGTTTTTCAATAAATGATTCGAATAACGAGACCTCTGAGAATTTTTATTTCATTTAAAAATATCTCAAATATCTTGTTATCTCCAAAGCACACCGATATTTTTCTACCTTTGTTCAAAAACATTTTCTTTTATCACTAATAACTTTCAATGATATTACAACAAGTCTTTAATAAATGAGACACCCTGTATATTCGTATGCACTAGAAAACTATAAAATGCAAAATGAAAGAATAGTGTAACAATACGAAGCAGAGAAAATAAAAGGAAAAGAAAAAGGAAAAAAAAAAAAAAAGAAAGGAAAATGAGCGAAAACGCAGAACCGTGTTGAACACGCAACGCTTAATACTCCGTTTATCGTGTCGCGAGAAACGTAAGTACGAAAACGAATGAAGAAAAGTGGCAAATAGGTGTTAGAGATGCATCGATATTGCAACAGAAACCATTACTCTTTCGATAATACGTTAACAGAGAAACGTGTGTCGTGTAAAGTCGTGCTTTCTCGTATGTTCTCCTTCGTTTTCCCATCGTGCATACACGCTTTTTCTCGTCGTGGCCGACGAGAGTGCGATAACGATGTTACAGTGAGAACAGTCGAATTCAAATTACCTAACGCCAGAGTCCCCAAGGGTAGACACGGATGTGTGTCTATATATCGTATCTCAAAAAAAAAAAAACAAAAAAACAAAAAAACAAAGAAACAAAAAAAAAAGAAAAAAGAAAAAAAACAAAAAAAAAATAAATAAAAAATAACAAAGAAAAAAAAGAGAAAAGAAAAGAAAAGAAAAGAAAAAAAAAACAAAACAAAAAACAAAAACAGACTCGATGTTCAACGCTGGTAAAATTGGAATAAACGCGCGAGCTGACTAACTCGAATCGTTTGCGCGTGATTTCGAAACGGGTTCTTGTCTATCTTAATCGATATTCAGCGGTCTCTCGCGTGTGCATGCAACAGCAACAGCAGCTGCAGTAGCATCAGCAGCAGCAGCAGCAGCACCGGCAACGGTAGCTTGCCAGTAGGTTAAAACGGTGCACGATTTTGCAATAACCGGTCACGTGCACATTCCACCGGCTGAGCTGTTCTCTCGTCGATTTCTCGTTGGTGTGTTATCGTTTGGACAAAGCAGAAGCTCGTCTATGCGTGCGTGCATGTGTATGCGTGATACGAGAGAGGAAGATATCGTAGGTATAACAATACTCGAATAGTGAATAACAGTACCTTTGTAGTGACAATACCTTCCTGATGTAATGGTCCCCCATTATGGTATACGAGTGGACCTACTAACCCATTGGCCATAGCACGACACGATAATTCAAGCAGCATTCATCTTACGCAGATGTTCCCTGAGCTTTATTAATAACGGCTGTTTCTGATTAATTGTTTTGGCAAATGAGAGGGAAAGAGAAAGAGGATGAAAGGGTGGGAGATCTGATAAAGCGTGGTTTCGTTTTCCGTACACCAAACATTCCTATTCGCGATCGAATCCGGGAGAATCGGAGATTGCAAACGTAAATCGTTTTACTTCGGAGTCGAGGCAATTTCGAGAAATTCATCTACCTACATACCTACCTAACTACCTACCTACCTACCTACCTACCTATCTACTACGCTAACTAATCAACTCGGCATCCGTACTCATAAAGTTAATAAAGGCGATTGATAAAAGATACGCGCTTAATCGAGGAGCTCCTTTCGATTATGGTGACTTTTTCCTTACCGATCTACCAATCAGTGTAACCGGATGGTACGATTCTTCGAGCTATTTCGAAACTTTCCACCTCGATTCTCGTATGAGAAGAAGTTATATGAGATTATATTGTAACAAAGAAGGGAATAAAGAGAAAGAGAGAGAGAGAGAGAGAAAGAGAGAAAGAAAGAGTTCTTCATGGTTCCGAAGGATCGATTGACCGACCGATCGATGTTTCCATCCGCAAATCGGGTTAAGGCCCTTAGCTTTCACGATGATCCACTTCGATTCCCCGAGAGGAACGAGTTTCGCTGATCGGCTTTTCTTTTCCATTTCTTTTTCTTTTTCTCCTTCTTTTTTTGACGCTCCTTAGGAAGATAATTTTTATAACGTACATGGATTAGCTTTATCTTTAAAGGGATAAAACATGATAAACGACAAACGTAATTTCGTATCGTTCCATCGCATCAATCGCATTCATCGAATCAAGGAAACTTATAAATTTCTTAGAGATAGACTAAAAAAATTAGTGCCTGGTAAATTCCTTAAAGTTAGTGTTAGAGTAAATGAAAGTATTGGTGAGAAAGTTCGAAAACCATTTGCCGTGATACGAATGAACGAAGCTTCGATACCAAACCAACATGAATTACCGATCGTTCCACTTTCGAGGTTCCGTCTGATTACACGGAAATACCTGGTAAAGTCCTTTGATCGATCTATCGTGAAAATTCATCGAATTATCGGAGTAAACGCGTTATCAGTCAGTTCAATTCGATTTTGTCAAAAGCTATTAAGCGCGTAATAATCGTGTTAAATTTCTATTTCAAGGTCACTTTCTTAACGCGCTTAGATTATAAAACATTATTACGTACAGGGCGTAAAAATATGAATCCAATCGAACGTCAGAATATAACTAAAGGAAATCATTATAAATACATGTATCGAACATATTAAACCCATCATTCTATTTCGTTAACATAGTCAAATAAATAATGAGTAATCCAACTTGTTATGTTACAATTTATAATTTATATATACAATTCGTAGTAATTTATATATACAATTCGCTTCTCTATTGTTAACATAATTCTATGCTATCGTTCGATATTATTCTTGCTTTTTAATTAATATTTTAAACGTTCGTGCTCCATTTAACATTTACTATTTCCCAAATAACTATGTTAATTCGTTAAGAAGTATTATGATTTCTATCTCTGATTGGATTCTTTTAAAATACTCTCTCATTTTTTTGAATTTCAATTTACTTTTACACCCCATAAAATATTAAAGATAAGAAATTCTTTTGAAAAGAAATGATACTTGATTTGTCACGATTCGATTTTAACTGAGAAGTCATACTTCTTTTTTCTACTTAATTGTACTAAAAAGTGATCGTTCCTTTATTTTTTTTCACGTCGTTTTACATAGAAAAACAAATAATATATAGATATATTTACGTTTAAATAAATTATATGTTAATGAAGTATCGAACTTAATATAAAACATTAAAAAATATTTTGCAATTTATATATGCTATATAACACGTACGATAAAAATTGTACTGATCGTAAAATATAAAAAGTTATCGATATAACAAAAAAAAAAAAAAAACAAGTAACGCATGAAAATAATTCATTAAACATCTTGATTTAACAAATCATTCGTGAAAACACAATTGTACATGTAGATACATATGTACATATCTACATCACGAAATTGACAGTGTCGCGCGGCCACAAATCAGCTCGTCGTCAAGTCACGATATTATTGAGAATATGAACTACCGATCGATACTGTTTCCGAATGACAAAGGACTAATCAGAATCGGTCTTAACGCCGTACATCATTGCTTATTATCACTGATGCTTAACAGTTCAGCTTCATACTGCCTACTTTCTGTTTCTCTCTCTCTCTATCTCTCTCTCTCTCTCTCTCTCTCTCTCTCTCTCTCGCTCTCTCTCTCTCTTTCTCATATATACACACATATATACACATACACATGCAAACACGCATGCGCGCACGCACATATCCCTTATCTGTCTTAGCCTCTACTCTATCATAATCCACAGAGACATCACTGGGACAAATGGAGACATTACTAGAAACCTTCGTTCCTCTTATCGATATATAACACACAACTTAGTTGATACGTATCATTCATAATGGCTAATTTTGTTCCCCTCATTCGTAATTATGAAAAACGCGATAAATTTTAAAGCCATAAAATTATGAGTTATACAAGAAATTTACTTAATTTATTTAATTCTTTTTTTTTTTTTTTTAAAGAGTATACTTAATTATTTTTCTATATTTGCGAGATTTAGATCTTGTTGGTAGGGGATCTTGTGAAGAAAAGAAAAGAAAAGAAAAGAAAAGAAAAAAAAAAAGAAAAAAAACATGAAACATTTTATAGCGGCGACGTATAATAAACAAGAAAAGAAAAATTCACATGACCTTTAATATTCTTTGCCTGTTCCAAGTATTCGGCCAATACTACATGACTTACGAAAGATTTTATCACAGAGGCTGGAGTAAGAAAAACCTAAAGTTGCCGTAACGCGAAATTTAATATATTATTTCTTTTCTTTTCTTCGCAGTTATCTTGCGTTCCATCGCGTGTAAGAATTTATGACTTCGATCACGCGACACTTAACGTTGTCCACGCGAACAACGAGTTGTGTACCTATACGTTATTACTCACCATCGATCTATACCTTATTTTATTACGATGATCGCATTTGTATAAAATGAAAGAGTTTAACGAGAATTTATCTTCTGAATTATATTGAATGAATCCAATAACTATTACCACCTCAAATATTCTGATTATCCTTGATTTTTATGGATGATTTTTACTATGATGCACACATATATATATATATATATGTGTGTGTGCACGTGTAATAAATACAATATAATCGTGACTATGTACTTCACTTTGTATCATTTATCTTTTTCTCTTATGTTTTTTTTCTAACTTCGATAATAAAAAAAAAAGATGTGTTTGCCACAGTTACGTGTATTATCAAATATTTTTTCAAAATACCTTGCGAACTAATTATTTTTTAACATTGTATTCTAATATTTACTTTTTTTTTCTTTTTTGGGAGAACTTTGTGTTGCGAATAAATTCTATTCAGAATGGCACGAGGAATCAATTTATATATATATATATATATATATATATATATATATATATATATAGAGAGAGAGAGAGAGAGAGAGAGAGAGAAATCGTGGGTTTTCATTTAAAAGAATATTGATTTGATCTTGAAATCTTGTAAAAAAAAAAAAAAAAAGGTGGCTTTGATAAAAAATTGTTTCCATCATTAAATGTATCCCTATTAAATAACGTAACTCCATTCCCAAAAATTATTTTCATAAAAATTAAAAATAACTTAATTAAATATTTGAGAGGATAATAGTTATTGATTAATCCTGTATCATTATTGGTAATAATTTGAAATTTATTTTATCAATTTATTACTCAATCAAATGATCATTTTAATTAATAAAAATAATATCTCAATGAAATATAAATAATAATCAATCATATCTTTTTAAATTTTTCTACATAAATTCTTTACAAAGATCAGAAATTTCAAATAAGATATATATCGAAATGTAAAAGAGTAAGGAATAGCAAGATAAGGTCATCATGGTGGGATTCGTACAAAAGGATTTGTGGTTTGATATCACGGTCGGTACCTCGAGGTTCGAGAATAGTAGACAGAGTTCGTGGGAATTGGGGGATACCAGATTAAACGTACGCATTTCCATTCGGACGATCGATCAAAAGACCGAACGCATAGCTAGATACTATGTTGGAAATCAAAGCGAACGAAATGTTAACGTCCATTTCTATTCTATTATTTCTATTCTCATCTTTTTTCTCTTTTACATTTTTTTTTTTCTATATCATTTCTTTTTCTTTTATTTATTCAGTAAATACTCATTAGTATTAGCCTCATTAAATTCCACGAAGATGCAATATTTATATCTGATAAATTCTACGATTTTATTTCACACGTTTAAGATCGAATTGGCTGATTTAAAAAAAAAAAAAAAAAAAGAAAGAAAAAAAGAGAGCAGAAGTATTTTCACTAAATAAAATATTCGATAAAATTTGATTAATTTAATTACAAATATACTCGATATTGCTTCACCTGTTTGCTTTTGTCTATGCAATGTTTGCAACGGGCCAGAAATATTTTAGAAACATTGCTACGTGAAATTGGTTTGCCGATGTTTTTTAATAAAAGGCCTTCTAATTCAATGCAGCAATACCCTTCTCCTCCTCCTCCTCTTTCTTTCTCTTATCCATTATACTCCGGCTCGGCCCTTTTCAATTTTTCGATACAGTAATGTTGCATACCGATATCATCGATCTGGGTCCACTAATAAAACTCGTATTATGCGACGATATAATAGAATAACAATGTTAAAATAAAATAATACTTATACACGATGGAAACGAAATTACGATCGAATTTA